ATATTACTTTCTTCCATTAGTATTGGTAATTCTTTTCTTCTTTTTTCAATCTCTTCCTTTCTTTTTATATTTACTGCAATTATTCTTTTATTCTTTCTTTCTTTTATTTCTTCTTTATTATCTTTTACTTCTTCTTTATTATCTTTTGTTTCTTCTTTATTATCTTTTATTTCTTCTTTTACTTCTTCTTTAGTATCTTTTGTTTCTTCTTCTTGATCTTCACTCATTTCTTTATTTTCTTCACTTTCTTCTGAACTCTCTTCTTTAACGAAAACTACTTTTTCATCTCTTCCTTTTTTCTCATCTTTGTCAACAACTTCCATTTTCTCATTAACAAATCCAAATCCAAATGTCTTCTTCCCATCATTTACAACGATCTTTGTGACTTTCTCCTCTGTTTCTTTATTCTCTATTTTCTTTTTAACTACCTCTTTTTTTTGAACTTTCTTTGGCATAATAATAACATTCTCTTGATTCTCTGCATCCATATCAATTCCTAATTTTGTGCTTGATTTGAGATTAGGTAATTCTTCTTCCGTTAACATGATCTTACTAAGCTCTTCAAATAACTCTTGTCTTCGTTGTTTTAAGTTAATTTTTTTCTTGCTTTTCAACTCGTTTCTTTTGGCACTGTCATTCGTTTATCAAATTAGGCTCAATAAATTGAATCTCTTCTTTCTTTTCTTCTTCTTTCTTCTCTTGCATCTCTTCATGACTTACTCTTCTTTAACACTCATCTTTTCTTTTTTTTGTTCTAGGGTTTTCTCTTATGAGATGACACTTTATCTCTTCATTTTTCTTATGCAGTGCTACTTATTAACTAATTCTTGACCTACTACCCAATGTGTCTATCCTTCTTTGCTCCATCCTGATCTTTGTTTGTTAGTTGTGTTCTTTTGATAGAGTCAATGGTCTATATCACACATTTATTTTTATTCTAAATTTTCATATCTCTCTCAGTTTTTACTCGTTGAATAATTTAATGACTTCTTCTTTCCCAGTCACTTCATTAGACACAAATATGAATTGTCTTCACCACTTTAAGTTCTTTATTTCATTGTCTTCTTTTTTAATTACTTGTAGTTATTTCTTTTCTTCAAATGTCTTAATATTATGACATGCTAAATAGTCATCAAATCAACTTGTTTTACTCTTCTTATTTAATATACATAATCATTGATAATGATATTCTCTTCAATTAATATAAATATATAATATCAATTCATGTTGATTTCTAGTTATTTATTTTCATCATAATTAAATTTAAATCATCCAATATGATGATGATATTATCATAATTTATGTATCTTTCATTCTAAATTATGATTTGTTTTATTTTCATTTATTTTAATTGAATGATGATAATATTAAGTTTTATTATTAATATTAATAGTGTTAATTTTTATGATAATGTTTTTTATTATTGGATTACACTCTACTTTCCTTTCTATGATTGAGTTCATTTTCATTTTAATATATCTTTTAGTTGTTTCTTTTATTCTATGTGACTTTTTAATATTATTAATGTATTCTTTCTCATTATTTACATTATTATTTATTACTTTTATTATATTTTCTATTTGTTCCCATCTTAATTTCTTATTTAATTTCTTATTTAACCAATTAATTGCAAAACAATACAATACATCAATTAAAATTCTATTTGTTTGATTTGTTGTGTTTTCTTCTCTTCTTGATTGATTATCATTTCTTGTTTTTTTTTGATATTCAGTGTTTTGATTTTCTTTATCTCTTATGTTCTTCTTCAACACATCATCATTCTTCATTTTATCATTATTTAACTTCTTATAATTTACTTGGAGATTGATGATTTCATCCTTGCTTCATAATTCAATGTTCCTTTTACGTTCTGTTTCATTTATTTTTCATTGTAATGAAATATTTTATTATTTTAATTTAGAGTTTTCTTATTTCATTAAATGTAGTTTGAATATTGTTTATTTGTGTTTGAATCTTTTTCATTCTATTATCTGTTTGTATTTTGTGTTTTTTTGAATTATTTCATAAGATGATTTGTTCTTCATCTTTCTTTTTTGTTTGATATTATTTAATAATTTCTCCTATTTCTTTGATTTTATTTTGAAGTGTGTTAATTTCTTATTTGTTATATTCTTCTTCTTTATCTTGTGTTTTTATTTATTTTATTTTTAATTTATTATTATTGTAATTTTATTTCATTTCTTTGTTTTTTGTTTTTGATTCATTCTTCATTTGTTTTAATAACTTCTTCATTTATTTTGTTTTCTTATTTGTTTTCTTCTTTGTTTTTCTTTATTATTTTATTATTTATTATTGAATATAATTCTTGGAGAATATTATATATTTTCTTTACCTTCATACTTTTTAAGTATTTCTGTTTATTCTCCTTTCTCCCATTTTCTTGTTATTCTTTTAATTTTCATTTCAATTTCATTTATTGTTAATAATTTAGATTTCTTATTGTATAATGTTTATTATCATTGTATTTACATTGTTTTTTATTTTTATTCTTTGTGTTCTTCTTTTTCCATCCACTTTTCTCTTGTAATTTCTTTTATCATTATTATTATGCATTTTATTGTTATTTCATTCATTCTTTTCTTTGAGCATGAATACCTGTTTCTTGTTTGATTTTCTTTACAAGACTCTGTTACATTACTCAATAACATGGTAACAAAATATGATGTATATTCTGAATTGATAAAATGATATGAAAATAAGAAATAAGAAATAATAATAAAAATGAAAGAATTTGTTATTGATATTTATAATTATTGTTTTTCATTAAATTAAAAATAAAATAATTAAATTATTAATTTAATGTATTATAATTTATAGAATTTGTTATTGATATTTTTTGTTATTTATAATTTATAATAACAAAATAATTCTAATTTTTGTTATTTTTTATTTACATTTTATTTCATCTATTTCTAATTGAAATATTCTCTTATTTAATTATCTTTTATTCCATTTCTATTCATTTATATTTTATTTCTTTCTTCTTTTCTAATAATTGGTCTATCTGTATTTCTTATTGTTAATTTGTTATGTTCAATATGTTTATTTCTTGAATTTTTAATTATTTCTTGGTAAGAAGATAATAATTACTGTTGTTTTTGTTTATTTAACTCTTTTTTATCTGTTCTTCTTCATGTCTTCCATTTTCTGAATTCAATCATCTGTATAACTATATTTCTGTATTAAATTATAATTCATCACTTGTTATTTGTTGTGATTTTGAAAATAAAGAAGTGTAAAAACTCACAGCAATTCTTCATTATGTAAAAATGATTTATTTATTATTTAATTCAATACAACTTCTTTTAAAATATTAATAAATGTCATCATTAACTCTTCTAAATTCAAGATGAACAAAAATTACTCGAACTATTAATTTTGGAATGAATTAAATTAAATAACATTTAGATGTGTTATGCTTGATATGATTTGTATATCTTATCTTTTATCTTTTAATTTATCATTACATTTATCACATTTGATATACCACTCATCATTTGAAATATAATTAATTTATTTCTCTTCTTTATCTTCTTGTAGAACTTGTTGTATAAAAGAATCATTACATTTTTGTAATCTATTTCTTTTTGATTAATTCTTTCTTATTATTTATTATTCTTGTATTATTTTATATCATTTTTATCTTATTTGTTATATTCATTCACTTTCATTTAAATGGTCTTTTCTTGAACTCTCTATAAATTTATGAACTTCAGATATCATCAAACAACTAATTTACTAATTGTGTCTATAGTAAATAGAAAATAGTTATTGAATTTCATAATAAACAACTCAAATGTTTATTGAGTGTTATTACAAACAAGTGAATTGTTGAAATGTGTTAATTCATCTTTATTGACACTGAATTTGACAAATGTTGATTTAAAACTGACCACATTTTCCCCCTTTTTCTCTTCTAAACCCCTTTCTTCATATTTTCTAATTCTCTCATTTTTCTGATCACTAACACTATGACTGATTTGTTAATACCACTAACATCACTTCATTTATCTTAACTTCTATTTCTTCTACACTCATAGCCATTTATGGAGTTTGTCTAACCAAATCACAAAGATTACTAAATGGAATATCTAAGTGTGATTGATCTTCACAACAAGTTTGTTGTCTTTCATCAATACTTAGTTTATTAAGTTCATTCTCAAAACAACAAAACAAACAACACGAATTACTTCAATATAAACATATTCAACAATGAATTTGAGTGTAAAGTGTTGAAGGTATCTCAACAAAATTAAAAAGGGGCACAGCATG